GAAAAGTTGAGTATAAAATTTGTATGTCTGCATTGAAATTTATTGTGGTTTTCACATTACCTAAAAGCCTAAAAGCAAAGGCAAAGTGTTTCATAGATTCATATAATAACAAAGTAACATGTTAAGACATGGATCAATTTGTCTTTTTGTAGAGTTTGGATGAATAGAAAATATTAAAGAAAATTGGCTTTAATAACCTAAAAATAATAATATTTAACCAACAACCTTACCATTTAATCCAAATCTAATAGACATAATCAGTGGCGAATGCAAAAACTTTTTTCATCGGAGGCATTCAACCAATTTCTTAAAAAAATATTGGAGGCATTCAACCAATTGATTAAAGAAACTTAAGAAACAAAAAAAACATGGTGGGCAAATGCTCCTCTACTCATGCTCTAGATTCGCTGCTACTGGACATAGTTATGTCATATACGTTAATTTTGGTTAGTCTACTAATTTTTTTTTGGGATTTTAAAAAAAATACATTAATTATGTTTGAGAATTTAAAAAATACACTTCATTTTTTTTTTGAAAAATACCCTAGTTGAAAAATATGTTTTGTCCTTATTTGATTTAACATCTAATTAATTTGTAAATATATTTTTTTTTGTCAACTTTTTTTTGTCAACTATTTGTAAATATAATTATTATCTCTTTTTAATTGAGATAAAGTTTTTTTGTTGATCTAAAATTTAAATTTACTATTAGATATAAAGAAGATAAATCCCTTGTTATATATGATATTTATCTTCAACATTTATTACATTATAAACTATTCAAAATAACACCCTACGTTTCTTATATAAAGAGGAGTATCAAGTCTTTGAAGCAAAGTAAAAAAACTTATAATGTTGATACAACATTTTATGATATATCTTTTTGGGTTTCTTTTTATTTTATGTAAAACTTCTAATTGAGTCGTTTTAAAAATATTAATAGTAAATATCTTTTTTGTAAAATTATAATTTCAGATAAATGTTATATAATATTTTTTATAATCTCAGATGAAATATACGATAACTCTTGTTAAAGATATGATCAACACTAAAATTTAGGC